ATAAAATAAAATAAACAAAAAAATAAGCGTGGCTATATCTCAACACCACAACGTTCTACATCCACATACTCACATACACACAGTACGTCATGTCACGTGCTCCAAATACAACCTCACGTCTATGTGAGGTCGGGGGGGGTGGGCTGGGTTATGACACCTCTGCCTTCCCGCCTTTTCCTGTGTTTGCTATCGTCTGGTCTAAACCCTCCTTTGTCCATGCTCTCATGCCCCTCGCCAAGGTCCCAAACCCCTCCCCCCCCCACAGGCCCTTCTCTGTGTGTGATGGGGTAGAGCCATAACCTCCCCATTGGCCCTGCCCTGAGTGTGACAGTGGCGGCGCCCCAACCCCCTCATCGGCCCTGCTCTGCCGGTGAAAGAGGGCGGCGCCCCAACCCCCTGATGGGCCCTGCTCTGTGCATGACAGGAGGAAGCTCCCCAACCCCCTGATGGGCCCTGCTCTGTGCATGACAGGGGGCAGTGCCCAACCCCCTGATTGGCCCTGCTCTGTGCGTGACAGGGAGTGGCGCCGCAACCTCCCCATCGACCCTGCCTTGAGTGTGACAGGGGACAGTGCCCCAACCCCCCAATTGGCCCTACCCTGAGCGTGACTGAGGGTGGCATCGAAACCTCTCAATCCGCCCTGCTCTGTGCATGACAGGGGGCAGTGCCCCAACTCCCCAATCAGCCCTGCTCTGAGCCCGACCAGGGGCTGTACCTAGGGATTGGGCCTGCCCTCTGCCACCCAGGAGCAGGCCTAAGCCAGCAAGTCGTTATCTCCAGAGGGGTCCCAGACTGCGAGAGTGCACAGGCCGGGCTGAGGGACCCCCTCCTTCCCCCCCGAGTGCACAAATTTTTATGCACCGGTCCTCTAGTGTGAAATATAAAAGAACACTTTGCCTTTCTGCTCATGTGCCCTTTACTCCCATGAAATGGTGGGATGACTTGAATCAACCACCTATGTGACTTGTTAATGGGAAGAATAAAAGTCCATTTTGGATATCATTTGGGGGAAGGGGATCTTCCACTGTGATGTCCCAAAGTCAGATTTTGTGTTATTTCCTACATTAGCTTATGAGGAATAGCTACCAGCTGTGGCTCAGAGTTCTCACTTGAAACATTTTGTGCCTTTTTCCATGGGTACTTACTAGTAGCTTCCAAAGGTCAGAGAGAGCAGCCCAAGGGCCTCCTAAGGAGTTCCCAGCATTCCCTACCTCCTTCAGGAGGGAGGTGAGGCCCAGGTGTTCCACAGACCTTCTGTGAGTGCAGAGGTGGCTCAGCGACAGGACAATAGAGAGCAATAGAGAAAAAACAGTGGGCAGTGCACTTGCATCAGGAAATGTTGGAGGTCAATCCTAATGTTGTTGTTTTGTTTCCTGATGTCCCAGGGCTTGGAAACCAAGACCCCAGAGGTTCACAACTGAGACTTGTCTTAGTGGGTAAGACTGGAGCAGGAAAAAGTGCCACAGGGAACAGCATCCTTGGAAGGAAAGCATTTCATTCCAGCATTGCAGCAAAATCCATCACCAAGGTCTGTCAGAAAGAGAGCAGCATGTGGAATGGGAGAGAAATTGTCGTCGTGGACACACCTGGCATTTTCGACACTGAGGTACCAGATGCTGACATGCAAAAGGAGATTGCTAATTGCATCCTCCTGACTTCCCCTGGCCCTCACGCTGTGCTCCTGGTAGTCAGGCTGGGCCCGTACACAAAGGAAGAACAAGAGGCCGTGGAGAAGATGCTGTCAATGTTTGGATCCAAAGCTAAGAGATACATGATTCTCTTATTCACCCGGAAAGATGACCTGGATGGCATGGAGTTCTGTGATTACTTAGAGGAAGCTCCAAAAGGCATTCAAGATCTGATGGAG